CATGTGCATCTTGTCTTCTTGGTTTTTTTTAAGCCAGAACATTCCCTTGTCCTCTTGCTTTTGCTGCTAAGACCAAAAAGTCTCAGCTTGATTTTCCCTCCCCTCCCTCCCTCCCTCCCTCCCTCCCTCCCTCTCTCCCTCCCTTCCTTTCTTTTTTGTTGTTGTTGAGACAGTCTCCTGAAGCCCAGGATGGCCTTGAACTCTCTACATAGCTAGGGGTGGCTTAAACTTACTCCATTTCCCAATTGCTGGGAGTACAGGCCTGTACCACCACACTGGGTTCAAGTGCTTTCCAGTCTATGATTTTAGGCCCTATTTCAACAGTCTTTAGCCAATTACGATATCGTAACCAACCACTTTTTGCATTTTCCCATTCATCAATTTTGTAGATGCCTATTCCTTCTCTCCTTCTTGGTGTTATTGCTATGCCCAGATTGTGCCCCCCCCCCAAAGACCACCATGGAGACCAAATCTTGTATGTAAAAGCAAAGAGCCTTTATTTCAAGCTCAGAGCTTGGACTCTCTGTCTGATGAAGACTCAGCAGTGAGGTCAGAGAGCCCAGAGCCCAGGCAGGGTGGGGTCTTTATCATAGCAGAGGTTGGGGTGGGGGGATTTCCAGGGTTCAGGACCCTAATTGGCTGACATTTGTCTAGGGGTATCTCTAAAAGGGAAATAGGTGTGTGCTAGACTCGGGGACATCTGGTGATCTTATCTAATCTTATCTAAGGGTTGGAATGTTTTGGGATGTTTGGTACTTCCCCTTAGATACTGGTCCATCCCTAGGTGGGTCCTGGATGGGGTCAGCTTATGGCTTTTCCTGGATCCAGGTGTTGCCTGTCACAGAAGCTGTGTCTGGGCCTCTAAGCCTGTCATGGCAGTCGTGTGGTCAAGTTGTTTTGCCCTCCCCTCCCCCCAGTTATAAACCTTCAATCAAGTTGGTGCCCAGCACAAGGGGCCTCCACAACCTTAACATGCATAGGCTCATCAAAGTTGGATATTACTGAGAAAGATGGGCGTGGTAGCTCTTTCCCCATGCAAGGCCATTTTGGATAAGAGGGACTCTAGCAGCAATGACTTCCTTAGTCATGATGTTACCAGTGAAGCCTTGGCCTCCTCCTGGTGACTTAGTGGCAACAGGGACAGAATGAAACCCATAGTTTAGAAACTGATTTGTGCCGGGCAGTGGTGGCACACACCTTTTGTCTCAGCACTCAGGAGGCAGAGGCAGGCGGATCCTTGTGATTTCAAGACCAGCTTGGTCTACAGAGCTAGTTTCAGCATAGCCAGAGCTGAGCTGTTTGTCTCGAAAAATTTAAAAAAAGAAAGAAACTGATTTGTGGGACAGGATAGGCCCTGCTGAGTGGTCTTAATGAATTTTAGAACCCGAAAGGGGATTGATGGCAATTAAAAATGTTTATGCATGACAAGCAGTGTCTTCCTAAATAGGTCTGTGTGGCCATGGAGATAGGTGACATCCATTTGCAAATACAGCATCTGTATTCAGTTTTTTGCCTGTGAAGTAATGAACAAGAAATCATGAGTTAAGAAAGTAATAAGGGCTGGGCATGGTGGACCCCACCTTTAATTCTAGAGTTTGGGAGGCAGAGGCAGGCAATCTCTGTGAGCTTGAGGTCAGCCTCCTCTACTTAGTGAGTTCCAGGCCAGAGAGGGATATATAGTGAGACCCTGTTTTAAAAACAAACAAACAAACAAACAAACAAACAAACAAGAGACAACAGGTAGTTTTCTTACTGAAGACACGCTTTCTTCTACCTTGACAGGGTCTCATGTCGCCAGGCTAGCCTCAAACTCGCTATGAGACTAGCTTTGAGTTCCTGATTCTTTTGCCTCCATCTCCCAAAGGCTTTAATTACAGGTGTGCACCAACTCACCCAGATAATATAACTCTTACTGTCTCTTTCCTCTCTGGTATGTGGAGACTTTTACATTTACGGTATAGATTGCTGTGCTAGTTTGCTATTAAAAGTGACAGTACACTGGACAGATGCAAGTAATACAGAAAAATGCCTGGTTTACTAGGTCTTAGACTTTAATAGTAGCCAACAGCACTCCCTAGCCCACTGAAAACACTGTATCATAAAAGGGCAAAGATCTTTGAGAAATGATCAAGGTAGCACTTTAATATATACATCTGGTTTTATTCATTTATTTATCTCTGTGCGTACATATTGAAGTATGCCCAGGTAAACATGTGTGCACATGTGTGAAGGCCAGAAGCCAACCTATGTTGTAATTGTTAGCTATTATGTGGCATTGTGTTATTTATTAGGCGGCACTGTTTACAGTGTAAGAAAAGCCACGAGGTACAACAAAACCCACTGTAAGAGTTTATTAGGGGAAGGAGAACAGAGGGTAGTGCTTAGGCCTATGGAAATGGTCATGGAGAGAGAGAGAGAGAGAGAGAGAGAGAGAGAGAGAGAGAGAGAGAGAAAGAGGAAGAGAAGAAGAGGAAGGGGGAGGAGTCTGTAACCTGCTTTTTATGGATTTCCCCCGCACATGCACATATGGGCTTATGTAGCTATGCCACGCATGTGCACAAATTATGTGACCACGCAGCGCATGGATTACATAGGACGTAAGGCACCAGGATGATTACGCCTCTTGCTTGGCTACTGGACAGTGAATGGGAGGTCATGTATCTGGGGGAGTGGCCAGGAATTCCAACAGTGATTCCTCAGGAGCCATCTACCTTGGTGTTTTTTCGTGTGTGTGTGTGTGTGTGTGTGTGTGTGTGTGTGTGTGTGTGTGTGTGTGTGTTTTAAGTGTTTTGGGAATTTCATGCAATACATTTTGGTCATATTCATTCCTTCCCCCCAACTCCTTTCAGATCCATTCTCCTTCCCTATCTACTTATCAAATCCAATTTCTGCTGTCCAAGTGCTATCGGGTAGGGGACCATCCCCTGGAGCGTGGTCCACCCACCAGGGGCCACATCTTAAATAAGACTGGCTTCCCCTCTCCTAGCAGCCGTCAATTGCCACTGGCTCTTCAGCTAGGCTTTCCTGCCCACCTCCTCTCTCCATGCTAGGATTTCGTGCGGCTTGAGCTTGCACAGTGCTGGGCACAGCTGTTAGGAGTTAATATGTGCAGCTTCTTCCCTGCTGTGCCTGGAAAACAGTTTCCTTGTGGTCGTCCGCTGCCTCTGGCCCTTACAGTCTTTCTACCCCGCTTCCACAGTGATCGCTGAGCCTGGGGAAGAGACGGCACGATGCAGATGTCGCCTTTAGGCCCGAGCATCCCACGGTCGCTCATGCTCTGCCCCTTGGCCAGGTGTGTTGCCCCTGTGCTAATCACCATCTACTGCATTCCGAAGCCTTTCTGAGGAGGGTTGAGAGACGCACTCATCTGTGAGGATAACAGGTTACTAGGAGTCAACTTCATACGACATTCATTCAGCATAATAATAGTAGTAGACTCCCCCCAGGGGCCTACGGCCCCCCTATTCACGGGCTCACGGCCCCACCGATGGTGCTAGGTATGGGTTTCATCTTGTGGAGTGACCTTAAGTCCAATCGGAAAGTGGGTGGTCACCCCCGGGACATTGTGTCACGGCTGCACCTGTGGGGCCTTCCATTGTTGTACCTGGGAGGGTCGTAGCTGAGCGAGAGTGATGGTTACTTTTGTTGGGTGGGGGGCGGGCAAAAAAACCACAGCTTAACCACACAGCTGCCATGACAGGCTTACCGGTAGGCAATACCCAGGTCCAGGACAAGTCATAAGCTGACACCACCCAGGACGGGTCAGGGGTGGGGAAGTACCCGACATCCCAATCATTCCAACTGTCAGATGAGGTTAGGTAAGATGGCCGGATGTCCTGGAGCCTAGCACACACCTATTTCTCCTTTTTGCTGATACCCCCAGACAAATGTCAGCCAATCAGGGTCCTGGACCTTGGAAATCCCTTCACCCCAACTTCCGCTATGATTGAAAACCCTCCTCCGCCTGGGTTCAGGGCTCTCTGCTCTCACTGCTGTGTGGGACAGACAGAGAGACCAAGCCCGAGCTTGAATAAAGGCTTTTTTCTTTTACATACGGAGTTTTTGGTCTCTGTGGTGGTCTTTTGGGGGTCCCCTCGATCTGGGTATAACATCTTTGTCTTCCAATAGTCTGCATAGCACCATCTAGCATTTTAAGAACTAGCCAGTAGGGACCAAGCCTCCAGGTCAGTACCAGCTTGATTTCTCCATGCTCTAATGACTCATATGTGGTGCCTCAGCAATGGGGTCTTACGATCAAGTTCTGGGGGGCAACCAAGAGCATTGTCAATAGTCTGTAATTCTGAGGGTCTCTGGGGCCTCGGTGGCCAACAACTCCAAAAGAAGTAATCCACTTCTGGCACCAGGCTTTTATTCGTTGGCTTGTGTTGTCCAGTAGGGGCGCTGTTGGACCAGCATAGGACGGCTTCGTTTGAACTCTGTATATGTGCATGTATATATTTTAGGAAACTTCTAGTAGGTTTTTATATGGCTTTTCCAAAAAGGACTCTTCCAAGAGGGCTTTACTTTACTGTTAGGTATTTCTCCTCATATTCTCTCCTATCCTTTGTCCTCTCATTCCCAGCCCCATTTATTTATTTGTTTAGTTAGTTTGTTTATTGGCTTGCTTGCTAATTAGGCTAGGCTGCCTGGCCAGGGAGCCCCAGGGATCTGCTGTCTCCACCTCCCCAGCTCTGGAATTATAAGTGACACCAAGCCCAGCTTTCTACATGGATGCTGGAGGCCAAACTCAGGTTCTGACACTTGTACAACAAGCTATTTACCAATGGAGCTGTCTCTCTGTCTGGTTTTACAACAATGAGGCAGCCAGGTGTGGTGGCGCACACCTTTAATCCCAGCCCAGGCAGAGGCAGGCAGAGCTCTGTGAGTTCAAGGCCAGCATGGTCTACAAAGCCAGGACTCTATCTCAGAAAAACCAACCAACCAAACAAACAAACAAAAACCCCCAAAACAATAACCCCAAAAGACAAAAACAAAACAATAAAACTAATGATCCTTTTTGGTTATTTGGTTCTTTGAGGATGAATCCAGGCTCCACACATGGGTAAGGTTGCATGCCTTTGCTACTTGAATAAAGTGCTGGCAATCTTAATCCTGTGGAAGGTCAGAACTGAGACTGTGAGTCTCCTGGTGATATATGGGGAATATTGTGTTCCCTAGTAACTCAGCAAAAACCAATTAAGAAAGAGACAGGTCAGAAAGAGACAGGTCAGAGTGAAACTCACACCTTTAATCCCAGGACAAGGGAGGCAAGGACCGGTGGATTTCTGTGAGATTTGTTTTTCTGGGGAAAAACAAAAAAGGAGAGAGAGAGAGAGAGAGAGAGAGAGAGAGAGAGAGAGAGAGAGAGAGGAAGGAAGGAAAGAAAGAAAGAAAGAAAGAAAAAAGAGAGAGAAGGGGGATGATATTCATTTTAATTGATTACAGGGTTTTTTTGATTGGGGGGGGATCCTTTTATTACTACAGAGCACTTAGAAGCATATCATCAGAGACCCAAAAACCTGTCACGAGACATTATGCAACATACATTAGATTAAGTTTCTTTATGAAGAATAATGACCATTCCTGGATCCAGACCCATGAGACAAAATACACACGCAGTGAGTCTCAAAAATGACCAGAGGTCAGAAAACACAGCCATAGGTTGTAAGACCCGCAGCTTGTGTGTGTGGCGGGTGTGTGTGTGTGTGTGTGTGTGTGTGTGTGTGTGTGCAGGACACAGCTGCAAACAGTCACACTCTGTAGCAATTCAATACTTTACTACTGCGCCAGCTCTTTGTTCAGGCCAATAAAGGTGATTGCTTAGCAGACATCAAATGCACAGAAAGCAGCTGCGTCCATGCATCTGGCATCTCTCCAAGAGTGTTTCCCTCTCCCTCCCTTTCTCTTTATGACTGTGAATATTTTTCTTTTCCTTTTTGAGACACTCTCACACTGTATACCGAATTGACCTGGAACCCACTAGGTAGTCTGGGCTGGCCTTGAACTTGTGGTGATTCTCTTGCTGCAGCCTCTCAAGTGTTGTTATTAGGATGATATTATGTGCTGTGGGGTAATGCTTTTATACACTGGTTTAATAAAATGCTGATTGGCCAGTTAGCCAGGCAGGAAGTAGGAAGGATAAACAGACAAGGAGTTCTGGGAAGAAGAAGGCTGAGTGAGGAGACGCCAGCCTGCTGTTCAGGAGCAGCACATAATGGCACACAGGTAAAGCTACGGAACATGTTACGATTTATAGATGAACAGAAATGGACTGAGTTTAAGTGTAGGAGCTAGTCAGTCACAGACCTGAGCTAATGGCCGAGCAGTTTTAATTAATATAAGCCTCTGTGTGTTTACTTGGATCTGAGTGGCTGTGGACCGGGCAGGATACAGGAAAACTTTCAGCTACAATTATTAGCAACCATGCCCAACCTGTTTGGGTCAGAAATAGTTGTGTTTTAAAAATACAGAAAGAAGAAAACAAACAAAACAACAACCAACAGGCACGGTAGTGATGCCTGTATTCTCAGCACTCAGGAGGAAATGGAAGGAACGCCACAAGTTCGAGGCCAGTCTGACGTACAGAGTAAGACCCAGTCTCAATAAATAAACAAAAAATTGTAACACACACACACACACACACACAAACACACAGGGGAGACTATTCCCTCACTGGATGGTAGTAACGGTGCTGATAATTTGGTATACAGCAGTCTAGGTTTTTAAATGCGTGTGTTTACTTTTTAATTTTCGTTTCAAAACTCATCTTCTACCTATTACTTAAAATCACTTTGTTTTGTAACATGTCTTTTTTTTTTCTTCCTGTGCCATTAAATATTTGTCCTATTTTTTTTAAAAAAAAATTGACTTTCCGTAGTGGAGAATGAGAGTATGTAAATCATTATCGCCCAAAAGACAGCACAGGCGCCTGGAAGTGGAGACAAAGATCTCTGCAGATCGGCAGCAGGCCTGCAGGAACGTGCATTTGCCAGGGAAGAGGGTTGAAGCCGGAGGCAGTGTCCACTAATCTCTGAGAGATGATGTTGTTGTCTTACTGCTCGCCTCCTGGTATAACCACCGTCCTTCTGACGACAGTTTAGGGGAGGGTGACCTAGAAGACCCTAAACTCTGGCATTGAAGGCTCCATCTATCTCCACTGAGGCGAACGCCTCATCCATGCAGCGCCCCCTGGCGGCTGCTACTCAGCCATACAGACGGTAAAGAATTTACCTTTTTCTTCTTTTTACTGGTTTTATTAGATTTCTTGCTATGTTTCCAAATAGATGTGAAGGTGTCCGAAGAGATTCTGGGAGTGACTGTGACTTTTAAGGGTGGTAGTTTACCTGAGCAAAGAGAGCAAAAGCATAAATGAGCAGAATGGCTCAGACTGTGTAGGGGCGCTCTCAGGCCTAGGAATTACTACAGTTGGCTCATGAGAACTCCCCGATACTCTGCAGTCCCAGGACTCTGGAGGCCCCAGGACCAGCCTTGGTTACATCACCAGCTCAAGGTCACCCTGGGCTACAGAGGCCCTGTCTAAAAAAAACAAAACAAAACGAAAACCCCAAACCAGAGGAAGAGAAGAAGAAAATGGGGGAGAGATACAGGCAAGGAGAACCAGACTCTCTCTTTAGCAGACAAGAACGTTGGTGTGATTTCATTAAAGGAGAATTAGAAATTCTCTTGTTGACTTGCAAATGATACAAACACAGAAGACACTAAACGAACATTAGTTTCATCATCAGTGATGTTTCTAATGGTTTTACGGTTTAAAACGATGCCTTTAGGGCTAAGTGACAAGAGATTCGTCCTGTGAAATCCATGCAGCGTACCCTTTTCTGAGGACTCTTCACTTGTGTTCAAACTACCAACCTAATTAAAGTGCTCTGTCAGAAACAGCCCATAATGAGCCCAGCTCATGAAATAAATGCATTAAGACTATTCATGATGCACACTTAGACTCAATTTCAGACTCGCTGATGTCTTGAGCTTTAGATTGCCTTTTAATGCTGTCGAGATGAGGTTCTTGCATTTCCAGGTGGGCACTCCATAATTAGCCTCTCATTTATGTAAATCGAGCCATTTACTAAGCAGGCGAGACATTTTCCATTCCAGATAGGAGCTCAGTGGAAATCATTTCCCATCCCATCACCAGAGGCTGGCTCTCGTCACATTCCCTGCAGGGATGCTGGGGAGATGGCCTGCAGCCCAGTAATGGAGCCTGCCAGGTAGAGTGAGAAGCGGCTTGCGGCCCCAGGAAAACCAAAGCCCAGTCACGACCTGCCTTCTGCTTACTGCACTTAGAGTTAGTGTTAACAGAATAACCCGGCTGCGCTTCATCTCAGCTAATGGAACAAGAAGGGGGCGTTCTGTTTCTCTAAAAGAAATGGAGCAACACAGCAGACCACAACAGCCCCGTAATTCCCTTTAAAACCCTGCTGGCAAAGGAAAAATGCAACCTCTGACCATTTTCCTAAAGAAATGATGAGAGGAGGATGCTTCTCCGCTCTCAGCCTGCCCCAGAGCACAGTCCTCACGCTCCTCAACCCTGAGTTGCATGTTCTACATGGAGCCACATTGAAAATGACATTGTTTGCTCCCCTGTAAAGGCAGTAAGAGTATTCTAAAAGAGAGGCAGGGGGGGTCCCCACTAACTGACCTCGCTCCTCTCGTTTTCCAAGGGTTCCAGGGCCACAGGTCACACAGTGCTGCCTGCCGGTTGGAGCCAAACCCCTCCTGAATGACTAAGAAGAACACTCTGGTCCTTGTTCGCTCTCTCCCTCCTCTCTTTCTCTCTGTCTCCAGGGTATCCTTATGTAGCCCAGGCTGCCTCAGACTTGAAAGGCTCCAGTGCCTGGCTGGCTCAGATGTGGTCTCAGGACGGTCACTACTTCAGTTTTACAATCGATTTCTGTACAAATCACTTTAGGTCGGGCTGAGTGGAGACTAGAGAACAGGAGAAAACTTTCTTGGAGAATAAAAAAGGAAAGAGCAGGGCTGGAGAGATGGCCCAGAGGTTAAGAGCGCTGGCTGCTCTTCTAGAGGTCCTGGGTTCTGTTCCCAGCAACCACATGGTGGCTCACAACCATCTGTAATGAGAGCTTCTCGCACGCAGGCATGTAGGCAGAACACTGTATACATAATAAATAAATCTTAGAAGAAAAAAAAGGAAGGAAAGAGAAGACAGAAAAGGCAAAAGCAATAGAGAAAAAATTCATTTAAAAAATAAAAAACCAGCCAGGCTGGGGCATGCTGTAAGTGTAGCTACTTCGGAGGCTGAAGGTAAGAAACTACCTAGACACTAGCCTAGAAGTACAGGGAAAAGTCAGTACTTGAAGGGTACACGCGACATTGTGACAGTTCTTGGGCTCTGTCCAGGTCTCTTGGCATGTTGACACAATGGGGGTTAGCTTTTGACAATGCCCCTGCTCCCTGCACAGCTCAGATTTGTCATCGAATACAAACAACGACACAGCTGTGGCGCGTCCGGGGCCTGGGAGAAGAGGACGGAACTTTACCTGCCTTCCTGGCTCTCAGTGCTTCCAGGATGGCGACTGCAGCCGTTTCTCCCAGGACGTTGTTTCCAAGGTCAATTTCCCTTAAGTGCGTAGAGTATTTGATCAGGCTGCACAGAGACAAGGAAACGAAATGGCTTTGTGCCTTGCGGGGCTCGTGGTCCCTCGACGAAAGTCAACCTAGAATTTCAGGGAATGGCCTTTCTTTTCAGGCTCCCTCCAGCCTCCCTGCCCCTTCCCAAGCGGCTGCAATGACCTGACTTGAGACTGGAGAGGTGTTGAGCCTGGCTTGTTGAACCTGGATGTCTCTCTACTTTGGAATATTCTGCTTCTCTTAGGAAACCTGATTTAAGCTCTTACTGCCAAAAATCTTTCGTTCATTCATTTACTTTAAAAACTTTACATTTGGGCTGGAGAGATGGCTCAGAGGTTAAGAGCACTGACTGTTCTTCCAGAGGTCCTGAGTTCAATCCCAGCAACCACATGGTGGCTCACTACCATTTATAACGAGATCTGGTGCCCTCTTCTGGCCTGCAGTCATACATGCTGTATACACAATAAATAAATAAATCTTAAAAAAAAAAAAAAACCCTTTACATTTAAGATTTCTTAGTCATTTATATTTTATATACCAGTAAAATGTCAAAACATTTAGAGGGATTGACAAGGGCTTGATAACTTTCAGTATGTCAAATAAATAGTAACTTTTACCTGGTGATTTTTTTGTTTTATTTTATTTATTTATTTTCTTTGGATAGGGTCTCTCCAAGTAGCCCTGACTGGCCTAGAACTAGCTATTTAGACCAGGCTGGCCTCAAACTCACAGAAATCCACCTGCATCTGCCTCCCAAGTACTGAGAGTAATTTCCCATAAAATTAAGAAAGGCAAGCTGTTGTGGGATATTTGTACATTGTATGAAGACATATGCTGTGATTGGTGTGATAAAAAGCTGAAAGCCAGGCAGGAGGGATAGGCGGGATTTGGGGAGAGAAAGGAAGAGGAGGAGGAATCTAGGTGTGCAGGAGACACCAGGAGACACAGAGAGGAAACAGGAGGTGCAAGATGGAAGAGAAGTAACGCCACATGATAGAACATAGATTAACATAAATAGGTTAATCTAAGTTGTAAGAATCAGTTAGGACCAATCTTAAAGTATAGGCCTAACTTTCATAATTAACAAGTCTCCCGTGTCATTATTTGTGAGCTGGCGGCCCAAACGAAAATCTGACTGCAGCAAGCTTTGGGGTTGGAGAGACAGCTCAGCAGGTAAGAGCACTGACTACTCTTCTAGAGGACCTGAGTTCAATTCCCAGCACCCACACAGCAGCTCACACCTGCCTGTAACTCCAGTTCCAGGGGATCTGACACCCTCACACAGACATACATGCAGGCAAAATACCAATGCAGGTAAAAATAAAAATAAATTATTTTTTAAAAAAGGCAAGCCTCAGAATAAAAAATTTTTAATTTATTTATTATGTATACCATGTTCTGTCTGCACATATCCCTGCAGGCCAGAAGAGGGGACCAGATCTCATTACAGATCGTTTTGAGCCACCATGTGGTTGCTGGGAATTGAACTCAGGACCTCTGGAAGAACAAGCAGTGCTCTTAACCTCTGAGCCATCTCTCCAGCCCCAGAATAAGGTTTTAAAATCAGATGAATTTAGCTCTATGAGGACAAAACCCACTGTACTCTTCCCATACTTCAGTACTCTAGGCCCAATTCTAATTAGTTTGCAAGATCAGCAGAGACCGGGAATGTTCAGTGCTGTGGCCATTGCGTTTCCTCATTTCTTGGTGGGCTACTGAGAACCCTTGGCCTGGCAGGGTTCTGCTGGCATCCTGTGTGGAGGGGGCATTGAGGCAAAGACCTGGGCTTCTTGTCAGCTCTGCCCTTTCGTTGACCGTGTGATCATGGGCAAGCCATGTGCCCTCATGGGTCTAACTTTCCATATCTGACAGAGCTTTGTGGCCTGTTTTATGAGGTTGCAGTGAAGACAGAACTATTATTTCCTGAGTGCACATTAGTGCTCCGTACAGCAGGAACTAAAGGAAAGTTAATTTATGGTCTCCGCTCCAGAGTAAATTATGATGTGCTTATCAAGAGATCAGGGCTGAGTCATTATCACATAAGAAGGCTTGAACTTTCACATAGGGTCAACGCTGCCTTTACGGTCATGTTGACTCTGCGGCTCAGCTGTACGCACTTTCCACCAATTCAGCAGCCAGATCTGAGGCCAGGCCTGTGCAGCCCTGCCAGACTCTTATCAAAGATCTTGCTCTCAAGGAAGCCATCTGCCGAGGGCTTGAGCAGTTCCAGCTTCCAGATCTCTCCATGTTTTTCAGACAAGATGGGTAAGAACAGGGTACTAGAGGCTGGAGAGATGGCTCAGTGGTTAGAGGACCTGCTGTTCTTGAAGAGGACCCAGGTTCAGTTCCCAGCACCCACATGGTGGCTCACAAGCATCTGTAACTCGAACCTAACCCCTCCTCTGATCTCCAAGGATACCAGGACATACATGGTGCACAGATATACATGCAGGTAAAACATTTACACACATAAACTAAAAATAATCTAAAAAGAATGAAAAGATAAAAGAAAGGGATGCTTCTAGGAAAAGGAGCCCCAAGGAGGGAGGCAGGGATGCTGGAGACTGACTTGGTGACTCTGGTCTTTAACTAGGTCGACTCTAGGAGGCTTCCAGGGAGTTGAGTCTCACTGGTGTGTCTGCTATGCCTTGGATGCCACCAGGGCCACCCCCAGGCCTGAAGGGGGTGTCCTACAAAAGTGCCTCCCAGGGTCTTTGTGGGGCTGAGGTCCAGTTCAGTTTCCTGCGCAGTGCTGAACCCAGACGCCTGGACATAGAGGGAACTTCATTTGCTCCTGGCCAGAGGTGGTGCCTCCCTCCCTCATCTGTCCTAATTTGGACAAAGGATGAGTTAGATCTCTGAACACCGCTTAGCTCTTTGCATAAATGATTTATTCAACCTGTCACTATCTCCAGAGTTAGACACTATTACCATGATCATTGGAACCCCTGAGAAGTAAGATTAAAGAAAATTTAGGCTGGGCAGTGGTAGCGCACACCATTAATCCCAGTACTCAGGAGGCAGAAGCAGGCAGATCTCCGTGAGTTTGAGGCCAGCATAGTCTACAAACCAAGCCCCAGGACAGCCAGAGCTATACAGAGAAACCCTGTCTGGAAAAACAAAACAAGCAAACAAAAAGTAAAGAAAAGAAAGAGCCGATTCTCTGAGATCAGTAACATTGATAAGTTTCTAACCAAATCTTAGAAGAAAGAGAAAATGCGAATGTTCAAGGTCAACGAAAGAGACGATGTCTCCACAGCTTCTACAGTTTCTAAAAGGACACTAAAGAAATATGAATAACTAGCCGGGCGTTGGTGGCGCACGCCTTTAATCCCAGCACTCGGGAGGCAGAGCCAGGTGGATCTCTGTGAGTTCGAGGCCAGCCTGGGCTACCAAGTGAGCTCCAGGAAAGGCGCAAAGCTACACAGAGAAACCCTGTCTCGAAAAACCTAAAAAAAAAAAAAAAAAAAAAAGAAATATGAATAACTTTATTCTAACAAATTTGACAACGTATACAAATTCTTTGAAAGAAGAAAACTAGAATATGTCAGGCAGAATCCCTCAAAGCCAGAAGAACCTTATTCTTTTTGTTTTTGTTTTTTGAGATAGGGTTTCTCTGTGTAGCTTTGAAGCCTGTCTTGGATCTCGCTCTGTAGACCAGGCTGGCCTCGAACTCACGGAGATCTGCCTGCTTCTGCCTCCCAAATGCAGGGATTAAAAGCGTGCACCACCACCCAGCTAGAACCTTATTTTTATTCAACATGTTTGTTTGTTTCCGTGTGGGGGCTTGAACCCAGGCCCTTGTGTATTCCAGGTAAACCATAGCACCAACCTAATATATACTGCTTAGAAAAATGAGTTTTGATTAAAAACCTTCCTTGCTAAGTGGATGGCACTTGCCTATAACCCCTGTGTTCAGGAGGCTGAGGGAGGAAGGTCATGAATTTGAGACCAGCATGGGCTGCACAGCGAGACTTGTATAAAAACACAGAAACCTTTGCTAGGAAAGCTCCAGGTGTCAAGGGCTTCACCGATGAATCTAGCAAATTAAAGGACACCGTCATCATAATGCCACGGAAGTTGTGTCCTCAAACAGAATGGGAGGGGACATTTCCTAAGTAGTTGTGTAAGGCCAGACAGGCTCTGATCCCAAGTAGGCAAAGGTGTTACAAAGAAAGAAAGTATGGATCCGTGTAGCTCATGGATGTAAACACAAAAATCCTGAACACTTTTTTTTTTTTAGCAGTTACACCAGCAATATATTAAGTTCAACAAGATGCTGCAATAGAAGTTACTGATGTAATTGATGTAATTATCTGGGGAAGGGCAGCATCGATCGCCAGCTGGGAAGCCTTCCCATCTCTCTTGAATCCGGGAGAACAGTAAGGAAGGAGATTTTTTCTGCCGAGATAATAAATTGCTACCCGACACGCCTTCGGGCCTCGGACCTCAGCTGTGCCCAGTGCTCTGGGCACCACTGGTGCTGTGGGCCTGGCCACGAGACAGTGCTGCCCAGAGCCCTTGCTGATCCTGCAGTTAGGTCCTGAGTGGTTGTGAGACCTGCCAACGGCTTGGTCAGCTTAAGGTGCAGGTCCAGCAGAGACGGATGGGGGATGCCTCAGGTTGTCAAAATGAGCATGACAAGGCAACACTGTTTTCTAGAAGCTTCTGAGAATTATAGTTCCATATTTCTTTTTTAGGAGTCCAGGGTGGAGAGCTTTCTAACCGAACACAAGAATGTGCGCTCCAAGGAGGCTGCCCTTCCTCCTCAGGTGACATCAATCAGGTTTTGAGTTACCGCATAACCTTAATGCAAGGATGTTCTAACTCTTGCCTCCTCTACTGCCTCGGCTGCCACCCTTTTAATCTGAGGCTCCTCGTGAGGTCTCTGAGGGGCCCAAGTGCCAAGGCCAGGACTGGTAAGTGTCCCTCTCTGAGCTGAGAAACCACACAAGAATTGCTAAGAGGCTGTGATCAGCTGTGTGGTTTAACTCCGGCACTTTAGTTTTAGAGAGGGAGTGAGTCCAAAGCTCTTACGGTTCCCCACCAGGTTAAGGTTCGCGCGAGTTCCGGCAATTGCTCCCCGTCTGTTCCTGTCCCATCAATGCTGTTATCTGCCAAATGCAGCGTCGCTACCCAAGGGCCGGCTTCCATCGGTCGGTGAGCCTTTTTCCTGATTCCTGCAAGAAAAATCAGAATGCTGGCATTACTTTTAGATGATAGAGCCCCTATTTATTACCAGCTAAAAAGATTTTTTTAAATAGTTTGCACATACTGGATTTGAGGAAAATTTATTTTGCAACACAATCAGTAAATATATATGTGATTTCGGAAGTCCTGGTTTTACATTCGGTTCCGCTTCGTTCTTTACAACAGAGACCCCAGATTGCACAATTAGACAATCCCATCTTGGAGTCAGATATCCACCATTAATTTAACTAAAGAGGAATATTTCTTGGTGAATGAATTATCCACTGGCCCTGGGGGGTTGACAGTTTTTAATTGAAAGGGGGTCTAGCTCATTGTAGGAGTCTGAGAAATGGCCTCATTTTCTGAGCTTTGGCCTCTAGAAAACATCAGAAGAAGGAAAAACACCTGCCTCAGTGACTCATGACTGCATCACCGAGGGCCGGAGTTCTGCGTCTGGTTCACCCTCATCCGGCTGCTGAGGTTTCTCAGAGTTCCTTGACAGGGCCACGAGTGGCCCAGCTCACACATTTCATTCACCCCAGTCCAATTTCAGGGGTTTGGGAAAGAAGAAAACATGAAGGGGTAGAGGAAGAGAAACAAGCTGCCTGCGTAAGTCAGGCTCATCCACTTGCCAGATGAGGTGGGAAATCTGAATCACTGGTCCCCGAGCCAGAAAGTTCCCCGAGGCCTCCCTATGCTCACGTTCTGTGGACTGCTTCAGATGGGGCTGGCATGAATGGAGATGGCTTGACTTCAAGGAGGGAAGAGCCGGAGTGGGGGGTGGGGGGTGGGGGTGGAATGGAGGTGGGGGGGTGGGGTTGGAAGGCAAAGAAAGGCACCTGCTGCCAAGCTTGATCCCTGGAACCCAGGTGGTGGAAGGACAGAGAACTCTCTTTCTCTCCCTCTCCCCCCACTACACAAAGCCAGGTAAGACAACGTGGAACTTGAGAGAACATGTCTCTACACTGTGTCGTAAAGGCAATTTAAGGGATTTTAAAGGGTGCTTTAACTAATGTGCTCCCCATGCTGGCTTGAGAGCTTAACCTCAGGGCCAGACAAATTCCCCTGGTACTCAAACTCACTCAGCAGGTGTCTCCGAGCTGCTTCTGTGCAGGAAGCACTGGTGCGCGTGCTGGGGATCTGCAGGAGGAACTGAGCCTTCCTCACACCGCTGGCAGAGGCAGATCATAGCTGGTGTGTGTGAGGAGTTGCTGGCAATCAAGCCCCAACATTCAGTCCTTGGAGGGAAACTGAGGTTTTCGGGTAAAGGTGATAACTCTGGACATTTTGGGATTGGTGGTGGTGGTTTGCCACACGAGGTAAAGGCACCTGTCACCAAGCCTGATAACCCGAGTTTGATCCTCAGAATGCACATGGTGGGAGGAGAGATCTAACTCCCGTGACTTGTCTTTGACCTTCCCATGGGTACAGTGGCACACATATGTGTGGGCATATACACACCCAATAAAGAAACCAATGCAAACAATGTTTTATAATTTAAACATTGGGTCTTTCTGGTTTGCTAGCTGAAAAAAAAAAAAAAAGGCAGAAACTATACTTTTAAAAACAAGATTTGAGCTGGGTGGTGGTGGCCCATGCCTTTAATCCCAGCACTCGGGAGGCAGAGGCAGGTGGATCTCTGCGAGTTTGAGGCCAGCCTGGTTCACAAAGTGAGTTCCAGAACATCCAGGACTGTTGGTCACCAGGCTACCAGGGCAAAGGGGGCGGAATCAGTGAGCATGGCTTTGTGTGGCCTGTGAGTATGATGGAAATAGCCTTCCGGAGGCTGCTTCAGTGTTACAGCTTAGCTCTATTCCAGAGTGAGGGGTGTATATGGGATGGGGGCAGCAGCTGGGGCCTCACCTAATTTGCGTTTGGCAGCACGGTCCCGCCATACAGCTAGGAGCGCAAAACCCAGTTACCATATGGGCCGCAGGGGGAGAGCGTCTGCAGGGGCCTGTGTCAAAGGTCATGCTTGAGATAGACATCCAGGCTTAGGGAAGGTCAGGTCTCCCAGCCTAAAGACACTATCCAGGGAGGGAGGGAGCCCTGCTGAAAAGGGAGTCCTCCATTTCGATCGAGCTCAGAGAGCTGTCCGGACAAGGTGGACTGCAACCTTAAGTGCAGGGGACTCCAACACAAAACAGGATTTGAAGGGCTGGAGTTGACAGCTCATTGGGTGAGCGAGCACTAGCTTGGGACACCTGATGCAGTGCTCTGCTCTGACCCCTGAGCTTCAGAGGTGCGCGCGCACACACCGTGTGCATGTGTGCACATACATAAAGTTCTATCGGTTTCTTTACCTATGACTCTAATCTGCTGGATAGTTAGATGAAACAGATCTTACTTGAGCTTAATATGAAAACTGGCCCACCTTTTATTTTTTTTAATATTTATTTATTTATTATGTATGCCAGATCTCATTACGGATGGTTGTGAGCCACCATGTGGTTGCTGGGAATTAAACTCAGGACCTCCGGAAGAGCAGCCACTGCTCTTAGCCACTGAGCCATCTCTCCAGCCCCTTATTTTTATTTGGAATAAATAACATATCTACATTTTGTCATTGCACCCAGAGCATGGCCTTGATAGCAGACGACAGTCGTCAAGAATAACGTAACGGCACCGACATACTAGAACATATGTACTACGTATGTGGCACATGGCAGATACGTGAATGTTCATGCTGGGAAGAGGAAGGGAGAATCAGAGGAAGAGCGAGCAGATGCAGAGAGAAGCAAGACAGACGTGCTATACTGAGAAATGGTACCAAGCTATGTACATGGCAAAGCACAGATAAAAATGTGAGTTAATTGAAAATGTAAGAGTTAGCTAGTAATAAGCCTAAACTATTGGTCGAGCATTTATAATTAATAATAAGTCCTTGTACATTTATTTTGGAGCCAGTGGTCCTGACCAAAACTCCACCTACATGTTCATGAATGACTGTCAAGTACAATCAAGTCATTGATTTACAGTTACCTTCATTGTTTTTGAGTATAATGCCTTGATTCCACTCATGAACATGAATGGGATATGATTTTTCCTTTATAAAAATTTTTCACAAACCTAAATGCCTTTGAAAGTTGAGTCTCTGTGCTGAGGATATGGATACTGATCTCACCGGCTCTCATTTCCTTCTTCCAATTTCTACACACCAGAAGGTAGCAGTGGGTAAAACCTGAATTAGCATGCCGGGGTTAAGGGCTGAGGGCCCAGTTCCTATACAGATGTACAGCGTCATGAGGAGAGCCACCGCCGGGCACTCAGCACCCTGACGTATCTATCAGCTTGGTGGAATGTGTGCCTGTGGAGAGGGAGCCTGCTCGGCCTGTGACTGACTGGGCATAGCTTGCATCCCCGTGGGAAAACTAGCTCAACTGCTCCAAATCTGGCATCACGGATTAATGAAAACACCATCTTTGCCCGCGACAAATGGACCTCTCCCGAGCTTCAGGAACTCTCAGAGAAGTCAGGAAGACAGACAGCTGCCACTCAGGGCAGCGGTCCTGCTCTGAGGCTTTGGCCAAAGCAACATCAAGCTCCTCTCTCTGGGTGGAAAACAAACTCCTTGGAATGCAGATGAGGACACACTCAGCCGCTGGTCATACTTTATCTGCCCCAGCTGGATTCACTCTAATCTATTTTTACTTAATCTTATTTTTATTACTTTAAAACTAAGCAAGGTGTAGGGTGAGGAGATGGCTCAGCAGTTAAGAGCACTAGCTGTTCTTCCAGAGAACCTGGGTTCAATTTGCAGCACCAAATGTCCACAGTTCCAACTCCAGGGGATCCAATACTCTTTTTCTAGCTTCTGCAGGCACCAGGCATGCACATGGAGCACAGACAAAATGCACACAAAGAATAAAATAAACAAACAGGTTCACTAACTGTCTGCTGCACATCTCTGTCGCCGAGACCCTGACTTTGGCGCAGTCATGCCCCATGGTGCTTGGGAGGCGGGGTCGTACAAGAAATACACAGAACACCTGGGTTTCAAACCTCTCTTGAGAATGTCCTGTGGCTCCTACGAAGTTTCTTAACATCTATGAACCTCACTGTAAAAGAGGCCATGATCCTGTCTCCCAGTATCATTGTGAGGGGCGGCTGGGAAGCAATTTCAACCGCCAGTGTCGAGGACCATAGTGCATGGCAAATAGTGGTGCCTTGCTTCCCAGTGTCTTTTCTGGGTTCCCTGAGTTCTCCAAACACTGCATGCAAGTAACCTGGTAACTTACTAACAAGGTGTCTGTCTACCAAAGGGTCAGATGTATATTTCTGACCTTGGCACACCTAGCCTGGAAGCTACTCTGCAGATGGACCCAGGTCCACTCAGCCGATGAGTTTCTGTCTTCCAGATGGTCCATTCTCTGTGTTTTGGAGAATTGCCCAAGATCAACAACTCAGTTCCAGTATGTCACTGTCCCACTTTGAAACCATAATGTCAGCATTCAGTAAGTGGAGGCAGAAGAACCAGGAGTTCAAGGCCATCTCAGTTACTAGTGAGCTCAAGGCTCTCCTGGGATACTAAAGACACTGTCTCAAAAACCAAACGCCAATCAACCAACCAACCAAACAACAACGGAAGCAAATAAACAACAAAACCCAAACAAAACAAAATCCCTAAAACTCCAAACAAACAAGCGAATACTTAAAACCATCAAGGCTCCATGTCATTGTCTGAATGCAAAATGCTCATAGGCGCATGTGTTTAAACACGTGACTTCGTGCTGTTTTGGGAAGTTGGCAATCGTATGCCACCAGAAGCTGGCCTTGGTGCTATTCCCACTTCTGGTTCCGGCCCGTGGCCTCTGCTCCCCATCTGGCCGCTGTGTGTGAAGCTCTGCCACACACTCCCGCCACTGTGTACTTTCCACCGCGATGGGCTGTGAGCTCTCCGAAACTGTGAGTCAGAATGCGTCCTTCCTCTGTTAATTGCTCCTGGCGGGTATTTTGTCAAAGCGATGGGATTGCTGCAGCTTGATGGTCATCACTTTTGGTTAGGGGCCACTGGCCTCCCCCATGCCACACTCCCCAGGGTTGACCACAATAGCCTCCTCATCCTCTGAGCTATTTCTCATGGGGTGGGTGGGGAGGGGACAAGGGCCACTCTGCTTAGAATGGCCTCTTTCCTGCTGGAACACCTCTCACTCCTTCCCCTGAGCGCTCTCTGTGGGCCAGATCCCAAAGGTCAAGTGTAAATATTCGTGGCACCAGCGTCCTCCCAGACAGCTCCATCCTCTCTCTCACCTTGTGATCTCCTCTGGGTCCAGTAGCGGCACCACAATTCTGTAAGGCACCAGGGCCTGCCGTGCTTATCTGTAGATACCAGGCCTGCTGAGAGTTCTTCCTTGTGGTAGGATTCTTTTAAAGTTGTCGAAATATAACATCTTCCCATTGACAACAGACATGTGCGATTTCCCATGTACCACCCAGTTTTATGAAAGTGAACAGAAACGTCATCTGTTTGATGGTGGGACTCTAGAAAGCAAAATGTGGTGAGTGTTGGCTGATTCACACCAGGCATCCTGGCATCTTTCTGTAGAGGTGTCCATTCTGTGTCCTGCTCTCACCCCAGGATGAAATCATGAGTACAAGGACTTCAGGACTGTAAGTGGTAACAAAACATTCCTGTTTTTGAATTAATACAGCTTTTGAAGATTACATCTTGATTTTTGAACTGGGCTCTTGCATTCCTTCGTGCCGCTGGTATTTCTGTGGGCTGTGGCTGTGATATGAACAATAGCACCTTATTTGGAGACCTGAACCCGACAGGTCTGTGCTACTGTAGTCAAGTTCGGATCTCACTCAGATCCTGAAAGGACTGTTTTAGGATTGGACACTGACCCTGTTCATCTGTCTAAGTCATACATTGACCTTTCTCCTCCTAAATCCTCCAGAACGAAAACAGCCCTGGGGACTGGTACATCGTGTAGCTTCAGCTAGGAAAAGAATAGGCCCAGACAAGGCACTCCTTGCTCCCCACTGTGTCTTCTGGGAATTTTGGGGGGCCTTGAGGTGACAAGGCAGGACCAGCAGAATGGCTCAGGAGAACCATGTTATCCTCAGGTGGCTACTCCTAGTGACCATTTGGTGACTCCTAGCCTTTACCATCTTCTGCTGCTGAACAGTTTGTGACTAGGCTGTGGAAAAGCCGGATGTCACCTGCTTGAAGGCTGACCAACCCTCTAAACTCTTGTACCCTTGTGGCAGGCAGAGCCTGGGTCCCAGAGCTGGATCCACCGAGGCTGGATGAACCTGAGCAGCCCAGCAGGATGGGCCTGGCCCGCTTGTTCTGAGGTTCCCAGGGCACAGCAGAGGCATCGAAGAGCCCCACGCTGCTCTCTCGCCTTCTTCACTGAGCAAAAGAAACCAAGGTCAGTGTTTTCAAGTCTGCAGAAGTGGTCCTCTGTGACTTCTCTGAACCAGCAGCCTCGGCCCCACTGGGGACCTCAGCCTTTCCTCAGAGCCCGGCAGGACGACGCCCAAGCTCTCAGGGGGCATCTGATGACTGGGATGTCGAACGGCTCTGGTTTGATGATTCTCTGTGTTCAGCGGCGCACCAATGCAGAATGGCCAGGACACACATGTGGACAGCTGCAGGCAGCCACACAGAATACTGTGCTCCGCCATCAAACTAGAGATGGCCACCCTGTGTCGGTTTGTCTCATCTTGATACATTTATCACTGTATATATTCTTAGGACTCCGAATGGGAGGAGAGTGAGGGGAGAGGTTAGGCTTCTGAGCGGCGTTTGGCCTCAGAAGGCACTGTGGGGGTGGCTTTCCAAGCACCAGGCCCAAAACCTCCTGCCCACCAAGGGGTGCGCGTGCAAATATTTTGGCTGTTTCCAATTAGGACCAAGTAGAAACCACCTGGCCTCCTCACCCAGGAGCGTGGCACAAATCAGCTCATCTTGGCCCCTCACTTTGAGACAGGTAGAGTCCTACCAAAGACTGGATTCTCTCCCCTAACTCCCTATGACAGTTAAGCAGTTGTCCAGTGTGGGAAGGGAAGGTCTTCTTTTTAGACATAGCCACTGTGTAGCCCTGGCTAGCCTACCACTCTCTCTACAGACCAGGCTGACCTTGAACTCATAGCTCCATCCCCCTCTGCCTCATGAGACGTGTGCCATCATGCCCTGCCTTTGGGAAGGTATTTTGAAGTTTTGTTATCACTGAAAATACAAGCATATATATAATAGATGAATTTGTTCCATTGAGTTCAGGCTGAGGAGACTAATAGCTTCCTGGGTCAAATCCAAGCCTTTGTTTTCGCTTGTAAGTCTCTTAATGTGATCCATTCCCTCAGGAGGGCCAGCCTCCTGCATTCTCTTGTCTTGGCCAAACTTTTGGTTCCTGGATGGTATTGGGAAGGTCTTTCCTACTTACATTCTTCCTCGTCCAAGTTCTCTCTTGTTCCTACCCTGGGTCAGCTTGTCTTCAAAACTTTGTCTCTGAGGCCAGCTCTGGAGAAGAATGCCCTTCTGCTGGTCCAGAGAACACACCAAAGGCCACTTCTTTAGACTTGGAAATGCTGACTGCCTTCTCTATGACAACTACCCAATGGGAAAACTACATCCATGGCAGACAGTACAACAGGACCTGACATGCTTTCTTGCTTTATATCCCCTCTTCCCCCAGGGTCTCATATAGCCCAGGTTTGCCTCAAACTTGGCTTTGCAGCTGAGGATAACCTTGAACTCCTTATCATCCTCCTTCTGTCTCCCAGTCAGTGAAATGAGGGCCTTGCAGCCTGCTTTACATTTTCATGTGGCTTTTGGACCACAAGAGTTTGTAGTTTTCTAATGTAGCAGTGTTCACAGAGAAGATTCAAAGATAATTCAAGGGCAGAAAAAAGACCACCCAAGAACAGATTCAAGCTGAAGGAGAAAGAGGCCACGGGGCTTAGGTTCCACTCAAACAGCTGGTTGTCTTTCCCACAAAGGCCAAGTATAAACCACTGAATACCCAGAACACAGCGGCACAGACTCAGGCCGCATCACGAGGAGCTTCCCAGAGGCTGTTTCATGACACACCCAGCCTCAATTCTGCACTGTGTCTTTAGAACTCGAGTGTGTTAACACTTGGACGGGAGCCTGTGGTGCCAAGTGTGCCCTTGGCATGTGGGATGCTGAGAGCCAGGCAGGGTAGGAGTGCCAGGAGCCGGGGCTGGGGCTGCAAGGACACCGTGAACTTAGTGTTTGGGAGGCTCCTGGGGTAGCAGATCCTACTCAAAGTTCTGTTTTCCTCTGTCTCCCTCCCCCTCCTCCCTTCCTCCTCTTCCCTCCTCCCTGTCTCTCTATTTCTGGCCCTCCCCATCTCTCTCAAAGCCCCTTCATGGTCACCCTGGTTCTAACTCTGAGTAACCCGAATTCTGAGGCCTTGCTGGCAGCTCCTGGAAGAATTGTTCCAAACCATGCTCTTCTGGAATGTTGACGGTGCCCATGATGAATTTCTCTGGCAGACATGGTGGAACTGTTGTTCATGGGTGGCTTGTCTGAGGTCACAAGACATGGGATCTTCTTTTTCCACATTTGACTTTAAGTCTTTGTTGGGGATAATTATGCACCAGGGCATGAGTTAGAAGGTGAAGGGAGGGGAAGGAATAATTGAAACGACAACCAGAATACCTCTTTTCCCCCTTTTCCTCTGTGAGGTCCTTTGCACCGTTACAGCTTCAGAAGATTTTGCAATCTGGCTCAGAGTTGAGCTTCCTCCCCGGCACACTGGTTTAAAAACAAAAAAAAAAGGTGCAGGGTCAGAGTCAAGGAAATGGTTTGGGGCACACGTCGGTATTGGTGACTGGTTGCCTTCATTTAATAGATGCCCTGTGCCAGTGTATTTCCCTTGGGAGGGAGTTAGCCGAACACCGTCAGCATCACTCCAGTCTGTCTTTCCATTTCCCTGCTGCATGGCTAGGGCTTAACATGCAGCTCCGCAGAGCCACGCAGGGCTCCCAGGTCACCCTGCAGCTGCCATCGCCTCCCTCCCTGGTGTACAGCAGCTCTCTAGCCATGGCCCCACGTTCCTGGGATTCCTCAGAACAGTCAGGGAGGAACACACTTCGTTGGCACGCATTAAGAACCGTATAGGGCCGGGCGGTGGTGACGCACGCCTTCAATCCCAGCACTCAGGAGGCAGAGGCAGGCGGGTCTCTGTGAGTTCGAGGCCAGCCTGGACTATAGAGGGAGTTCCAGGAAAGGCACCAAAGCTACACAGAGAAACCCTGTCTCGAAACACCCCCCCCCTAAAAACAAACTCAACCAGATTGTTAAAAAGAAGAAGAAGAAGAAAGGGAGAAGGAGAAGGAGAGGGAGAAGGAGAAGAAGAAGAAGAAGAAGAAGAAGAAGAAGAAGAAGAAGAAGAAGAAGAAGAAGAAGAAGA